AGACTGTGGGGTCCGCGGGGAGTGTCAGCCCGGGTTCGGGGAGACTGTGGGGTCCGCGGGGAGTGTCAGCCCGGGTTCGGGGAGACTGTGGGGTCTGCGGGGAGTGTCAGCCCGGGTTCGGGAGACTGTGGGGTCTGCGGGGAGTATTAACCTGGGTTCAGAGACAACGTGGAGTCTACAGGGCTGGATGGGAAATTGATTTGTCTTTATCTGTACCCGCCTCTTTTTGGAATTTAGCATTTCCTTCCACAATGAATCCAGGCACCAAAATGATGCTTGTGCGGGGTGCGTGGGGCAGACACTAACAGAAAGCAGATGCCTGTCTGCATGTCACCATTGGAACAACTTCGAATGTCATTTAGCACGTCAAGTGTGAAGCTGCTTTCTTTGCTAGGCCCATTATACCAGATTTTATTGGGTCCATCAGTAAAGAAATACATATTTCCATATCACAAATGCTTCTTTTCAAAATATTTTAACAACTGTATGTTAACATAATAAACTATAGTAAAATTCTTTGCAAACAATCATGTTTTTATGAATTTAAATATATGTCACTGTAGAGAAGCCGACAGACCCCACCAGATCAGGAGGGCCTTGCACCAAACTGGCTGAAGGGCCTAACGGAGGCATTTCACGTCCTGCACACGAAGAGGAAGGCCCGAAGCAGCTGGGCCATCCCTGCCCTGGCCGCCTGGGCAGCAGGTTCACGTCTGCCCAGTGTGTGCTTTCCCGAGACCACAAGCAAAGCAAGGCTCTGCCCCCAGAGAGGGCAGCACATGCCCTCCGGGTCCCCAGGAGCCCTACCTGTACGGGTCATGGATGATGCCCCTGTAGATCCACTTCTCCAGAACCTCGAAGTAGGGAGCACTGGCCGCCTTGGTCAGGTACAGGCACAGCTCCTGCGCCTGGCTGTCCCCCGTGTAGCTGAAGCTCCTGTCGTGAAGCAGGCTCAGTGTGGACCCCCCAAGACACTCGCCTTTGTCCACCGAGGTGGCTGCGGGGAGAAGAGAGCTCACTGCCGACAGGGAAGCACACGTTCAGACTGCCAACGACCCCGCTGGGGCCTCCCGTGCTTCTCCAGCCTTCTCACTGGGACGGTGTGCGTGGGTGGGATGTGTACAAACTGCAAGGTTGTAGCTGCTGATGAAAGCTGACCAGTAAGAGCTCCCAGGGCTTTCCTCTCGCAAACACTACCCGGAGCCACATGGGCTTTGGCTGCACGCCCCTGACCTGGGCAGCGGCTCCATGCCCCGGCAGAGTCTCTCCTCATGCTGGGTGCTGTGCTGTGACACCTGCCCCCCACTGCCCCACTCTCCCCAGCGGGCACACACCAAGGGAGGCGAGGATGTCCATGGTGCGCATGGCCGGCTGGATGTAGAACCAGAGCTTCTGCAGCGACAGGAGGCCCTGCCTGTGCAGCTGCTCCAGCTGTGACACCAGGATCAGGTGCTCCTTGACCAGGGTGCGCATGGCGGCCGCCAGGGCGTGGTTCACCTGCCCATACTCAAAGGAAGACTTCTCTTCGATGAACCTATGAGAAGAGCTGTCAACTTCCTCAAAAAGACCAGCTGCATCCAGATAAAAGGTCAGACACTCTGAGGCTCACCCCTACACAGGAAGTAAATGACTCACTCGAGCCCCACATCCCAGAAGGGAGCTTTTGCCCCTGGGAGGAGATGAGTCAGGACCCCAGGCAGTGACTCAGACCCTCCAAAGCTGAGTCGGTCAGGAGTTGTCCCCAAGGTGGGGGCTCTCTTTAGAAGGGATGTAGATGTCTCCATGGTCATCAGGATGGGACCTAACCCCTCCCTCACAACACCGTGCCCACCTAGTCACGGTGGAGTAGCTGGCAGCCACCGGCAGGATCCTGTTCACCAGCTCCCTGATGGACAGGTCCAGGTTGGGGTCCACGAGGAAGGTCCGGCTCTGCCTCCCGGCCAGGGGCTGAGCAGTGACGTGCCTCCCGTCCACGCCCACCAGCACATACAGCAGGTCCTCCACCACGGCCGACTCCTGTGAGGCCAGGGGCAGCGTACCTGTGGGCACAGACAGCGCTGCAGCTCCTCGGCCCCCGCCCCCAACCCCCACGGCCACTGCGCCCTCATCCTTGGTCAGTCACACTCCTGCTCAGTGTTGTAACGCCCCGGCTGACTGTTTATGGGAATGAAAGGTCAGCCACTGCGTTTGGCTCTGACTGACCCGCTGGGGAGCTCAGTGGTTGGCTGAGTTCCACCCACTGCAGGTCGGGGCTGGCCTGGGAGACTCAGTGGCTCACGTCAGGTCTCACCACATGGGACGCCAAGATGCTCACACACGTCCCTGACGTTTGGAAAGATGAAGTTCAGAGTTTAAAAATTAACTCCAGGGGAGGCTGTACTTTCAGCATTTGTGAGTACTATTTGCTGAGTCTGGGTAACTCTGGGACAAAAAAAAAACCAACGTTGTCTTTGAAAAGCTATCATTTAAACGTTAGGAAACTGATCATTTCTATCCACACGTGTGAGATGGCTGCAGGACGGACAGCTAAGTCTCCTCATGACCACCCAAGGGAACCTCGAGGACGGCCGCGGGCCATCCACCCACCAAACCGTCACATCCCAGGGTGGGTCCGTAGCTCAGTCCACAGCGGGGGGAAGCAGTGTGTTGAAATGGTCCCCACTGGGCCAGACAGGGCCCCAGTGCCAGCCAGACCGCACCAAAACCAGGCCCTGGCAGCTGAGAACGGCTCTGCAGAGCACACTTCCAGTTTACAAGACAGCTCTGTCGGCCTCATACATCTGTGACTGTGGGCCCCGTGGCTCCGAGCGCAGCTGCAAGCAGCACCAACATGAGTCCTCACGGCGCAGATCCAGTTTGCTTCCCTTTGTTTCTGAGACAAATCTTGCTCCGTCACCAAGGATGGAGTGCGGTGGTGCGATCTCAGCTCACTGCAGCCTCGACCACCCAGGCTCAAGTGATCTTCCCTCCTCGGCTCCCTCAGAGCAGGGACCGCAGGTGTGTGCCATCATTGCTGGCCAATTTTTAAATCCTTTGCAGACGTGGGGTCTTGCCACGTTGCCCAGGCTGGCAGATCGACACTTCTCAACTTCAAGTTCCTTTTCTTTCCGGGTCCTCCAGTGGCCTGTTCAGGAGGACCCACAAAACCAAGCCTCCAACATCCGCCTGCCATTCCTAAAGCAGTGGGTGTGGCCTTCTCAGGAGGACCCATAAAACCAAGCCTCCAATGTCTGCCATTCCTAAAGCAGTGTGTGTGGCTTGGCGTTTGCTGGACGGCAAGGGCATCTTCCAGGAACTGCCTCTGACTCTGCATCGCTGACTTTCCACCATGTTGGTCTCATTCATCCACAGCCACCAAGTCTTGGCCAATACCCTTGCGGGGAGAAGCCTCACAGTGGGGTGGAGGTGCAGTGCTGAGCCGGCCGCCTGACTGTGGAGGGACCTCAAGAGTTGTTTAGGCCAGGCACGGTGGCTCACACCTGTAATCCCAACACTAGGAGGCCAAGGTGGACAGACAGCTTGACTCCAGGAGTTTGAGACCAGCCTGGGCAATATGGCAAATCCCTGTCTCCACTAAAAATACAAAAATTAGCTGCATGTGATGATGCACACCTGCAGTCCCAGCTACTCAGGAGGCTGAGGTGGGAAGATCACCTGAGCTCAGGAGATTGAGGCTTCAGTGAGCTGAGATCATGCCACTGCACTTCAGCCTAAGCAAAGGAGTGAGATCCCATCTCAAAAAAATAAATAAATAAAAAGTCAGTTGCTTCAGCTCCCCAGTATCCAACATGCTCAGTGCCATCCAGACACCCATGACGATGCCTGCCAATCACTGCATCCAAACGACCACCAACCACTGGCTCCTCTGTGCCGCTGTGGGGAAACGGCAGCACAGAACCTGGAAACAGTTTCGCACGCTGCATGGGAGGGGCACTGCCGTGGCGGCGTTGGCCAGGGGGATGCCCACACGGTGTGTGCAGAGGCACGGCAGGAAAGTGGAGAGCTGGCAGCCGCCTCATGCCCACAAGGTTCTGGTGCTTTCCAAGCCACCTGTCCTATCACACAGAGACACTGGCCAAATCATGGGGTGAGGGGCTGGACAGTCCCCCTCAGGAACGCCACAGTGAGCTCCATTCCCAAGTCTGCATGGGCGGCACGAGGGGGTAGGGACGGCGTGGCAGGCTGGACTGTGGCCTGTGGCCATGGGAGGGAGGTGGGGTGAGGCGCCCCTCTCCTGGGATGCTGAGTGTGCCGAGGGCACCCGCACCCTGACCTGGGCCAGCTGCAGGGTTCGCAGCCGTGTCTCACACGCTTGCTTCCAACCATCGCCACGCTCAGAGCTGCCCCAAGGCGCCGCAGCATTACTGGAGAGTGCATTCCTCTGTTGTACAACCCCTTCCTTGAATGGGGGAAACATGGGAAAAAGCCTCCTACATGAGCACCCCCTCAGTGCTTCCCGCTCTAAAAAGCTGGCTCCGCTGAGCTCCACTGCTGGGACCCCAGGCACCAGGGCCCGGAACTTCCTCCTCTGAAGGCTGCCTGGGCGTCATCAGGAGCTCTCAGACGTCCACCACCGCCCTGGTGGCCCACTGAATATCCACTAAGGGAGCGGCTCTCTCTCCCTAACAGTCTTCACTGTTGGGTTTTCACAGTTGGATTATCACTGAAAAGACACTGCACAAAGCAGACTGTTCTGTTTTGTCTTGAAACAGTCTCACTCTGCTGCCAAGGCTGCAGTGCAGCAGCATGGTCACAGGTCACTGCAGCCTCCACCTCTCAGGCTCAAGCGATCCTTCCACCTCAGCCTCCTGAGTGGCTGGGAAGACAGGTGTGCACCACCACTCAGCTAATCTTTGTATTTTTTGTAAGGACAGAGTCTCGCCATGTTGCCCAGGCTGGTCTCCGATTCCCGGGCCCAAGTAATCTGCCCACCTCAGCCTAAGTGCTGGGATTACAGGTGTGAGCCACCGTGCCTGGCCAAAGTAGACTGTTTTCTGTACTTTTCATTGACTTACAGCAGGGTTCTGTTTGTTTGGGGATGAGGAAAACAGGTGGATTTCACATCACCATTCTCCAGGGTTTCTAGTAAAGGCAAGAGTTGGCCCCTCTCTGGCTACACAGCAGAGCCACGTGAGCAGCGGCAAAGTCGACCGGACTCCATGCTGCCTCTTGAGTTTGACTAACAGGGACGAGGCAAGACAAGCAGGTTTGCTCTGTCCTCAGTTTGTGAAATCTCATTTTCCAATCTAAAAACATATTTGACCAGGCATGGTGGCTCACACCTGTAATCCCAGCACTTTGGGAGGCCAAGGCGGGCAGATTACCAGAGGTCAGGAGTTCTAGACCAGCTTGGCCAACATGGCAAAACCCTGTCCCTACTAAAAATATAACAATTAGCTGGGCGTGGTGTCACCTGCAGTCCCAGCTACTTGGGAGGCTGAGACAGGACACTTGCTTAAACCTGGGAGGTGGAGGCTGCAGTGAGCTGAGATCGCACCACTGCACTCCAGCTTAGGTGACAGAGCAAAACTCCATCTCAAAAAATAAATAAATAAAATAAAAACGCACTCATGAATTGTGACAGACGAACACATTCCAGGTCCCCAACAGCCTGTCCTGAAATGACTGTGTGGTCTCACCTGCAACTTGTTTATGAGAGCATGGCCGTAACAGAACCTACGGGAGTCAAAACGGGTGCTACACACGGTTCTGGTGCCTGCAGGTCTGCACCAGGGCACCAGGGCACCAGGATGCTGGTTGGGGAGGGGCCGGCTGCAGGCCGTCCCGCAGCTCAGCTCGCAGCTCCAGCAGGAGGGACAGAAGAACCTCCAGGACCCTGGTGAGCCACTCTCTGTGCCACCCTGGGATGGGAACGCAGAGGCGGCGGCCAGTCAGAGTGGAGCCTCAGGGCCTGAGGAAGGGCAGGCCCAGGGGAGGGCTGGGCTGCAGTGTCCTGCCAGGCAGAGGCCAGAAATAAACGCATCACATACCTATTGGCAAAGCCGTGTCTGTGCTGACGCCGGAGCTAGTCAGGAAATCTCCTATCAGTGCAGGTCTGTCGTACACCCACGCTGGGAAGACGGGGAGGTGCTGGCCTGAATTGTTTTTGTTCTGCTTGTCTCGAAGCATCTTTCTTTTAAGTTCCAGAGACTACCAAGGATGTTTTTAAAAACAAAGCCAGAAAGGTACACTTTAGTGCCAACACTCAACTAAGACACCTGCAGAAACTATTATTTTTGCAAAGATGATAAAGACTCAACCACATAGAAATGAAGTGCACCTCAGCACGCCTGCCACAGCGTGAGGGGCTGGGGAACAGGGCAGACGGGAGTCCTAGCCCTTCTTCTCAGGGGTCCTGGTCCAGCAAGGGGCCCCCCAAGAACCATGAGCACCAGCAGGGGAAACCGTGGGAGAGGCTGCACCCGGCACAGAGCAGCTGTTTCAGAGAAGGGCGCCCTGTGAACAATCAGAATTGCGTCTTCCTGGCAGTGACTACCTTTGCTGGGTGAAAACAGGCTTCAGCAACAGACAAGCATCCTCACCCTGCCAGAGAAGGGCCCCAGGAAGGGCTGAGGCAGCAGCGCCACAACAGGGTGGCTCCCACCCTCCGTACCAGTGGCCGCCAGCGACTGACGAGGTCGGCCAGGGCCAGCCCAGCTTTCGGAAGCACCGACTCCCACTCAGGGCGGGTCAGGGACAGCGGCCAGTGCAAACTGTCTCTGTACTTGGCAATAAGACCCAGTCTCCCTACATGCCACACAGGGAGAGCGGTGCCAGGGCTGAAGGGGACGTGGACAGAGGCCTGGCATCACATCCGGCACAGAATGTGCCCAGGCACCGGCGGGGTCCTTTGGAGCCGCTGCACTCCACACACATCCAGCAAGGCCAGGATGCCTCAAGGACGCAGCTCTGAAGGAAGTTTAAAGGCCACAAAGGCAGAAATGTGGCAGCTCCAAGGAGAGAGACTGGGAGATGACTTATATCAAAAGACCAGGGTAGGACAGAAAATCAAAACCAAGAGAGAATAGTAAACACAGATGGAGTAACAAAAATGGTTCTATTTTCAAGAGTCTTGAAAATATAATAATCTGAAAGCATCTCCTCAAAATTGTTAAAAATTAGAGGCATGAATGGGGGGTCAGGACTGGGCGGGGTCAGAGCCACGCGGCCACCTGCAGCGTGAATGAGGGGTCAGGACTGGGCGGGGTCAGAGCCACGCGGCCACCTGCAGCGTGAATGGGGGGTCAGAGCCACGCGGTCACCTGCAGCATGAATGGGGGGGTCAGGACTGGGCGGGGTCAGAGCCACACGGCCACCTGCAGCGTGAATGGGGGGTCAGAGCCACGCGGCCACCTGCAGCGTGAATGGGGGGTCAGGACTGGGCGGGGTCAGAGCCACACGACCACCTGCAGCGTGAATGGGGGGTCAGGACTGGGCGGGGTCAGAGCCACGCGGCTACCTGCAGCGTGAATGGGGGGTCAGAGCCACGCAGCCACCTGCAGCATGAATGGGGGGTCAGGACTGGGCGGGGTCAGAACCACATGCCACCGTGCAGTGTGACTCCCAAGTGGGTAGGAACCTCATTTGTATTTATTCTTGTGGTCCAGAATTCTAAATTTAAAAAATATTAAACATATAAAGCTAGATCATGATTAAGCATTAAGCCTCAGCCTTTCTAATAATAAATGACAGAGAGACGTGCCCTTCCAGCAGGGGCCCGGCACAGCAGTGAGCATGGGCGCCTGTGGACAGCCACGGACACAGTACCTGCTGCAGTGTGGAGCCGGTGGCCACACTGCCAAGCTGCTTTCTCAGCTCCTCGAGCTCCTGCATGGAGATCTTGGAGGCCGCTGCAGGGACGCTGATGCTGGTGGCACTGCTGCCCACAGTGGCGGCTGCGAGCTCAGCTCTTTCTTTTGCATTCTGTTGTAAGTACTGCAGAGTCTGAAAACATGCAAACACGCAAACCTCCACACCAGGCCAGCACAACCCTGGCCACAGTGGATGAGCAGGGACACCACCACCAGCACGGCTACCCACCCTGACAGGTGCTACTCTTAATAGCAAAGCGACGCGTACAACAGGCAGGAATCCAGCGCAACACACGGGAAATGAGAAGCCCCCAGCCCCAGAGGCTGTTTCTCAGGTTTACATCCAACATGGGCGATCTTTCATTCTGGTCCACCACAAATGTCCTACCTGGCCTTGAAGTGCTACTGGTGAACTGACAGGAAGGTGGCGTGGAGAGAGCAGGAGATGCCACCTCACTCCTGACACGGGCTGCAGGGTGCAGTATGGCAGGCGGCATGGCACCCACCTACCTCTTTGTCTTCCGTGAGCTTTGAGAGCAGGTACACCAGCGGGTCAAGGTTCCTCGTATTTTTAGATTTCAGTTCGTCATATTTCTTTAGAAAGTCTTCTGGAGTACGAGAGAACTCTGCAATTTTAACCTCAAAAGCACAAACATGAGTGATTTAATGACAGTAATTAATAATAAAGCACTTTTAAAAACCCTTCAAGAAAATTAAGCACAATGAACCAAGAGTTAAACTTGGGTAGGCTAAATGATCACCTCTCTGAAATAAACTAAGAAAACTCATCTGAATATTGTGTTAAACTTATCCGTGTTTTGAGCCAGGCAGTGACTCACACCCGTAATCCCAGCACTTTGGGAGGCCAAGGCAGGTAGATTGCTTGAGTCCAGGAGTTCAAGACCAGCTTGGGCAAAATAACAAAACCCCATTTATTTTATTTTTTTTTTTGAGACGGAGTCTCACTCTGTCACCCAGGCTGGAGTGCAGTGGTGTAACTGCGGCTCATTGCAACCTCCACCTCCCAGGTTCAAGTGATTCTCCTGCCTCAGCCTCCTAAGTGGCTGGGATTACTGGTGTGCACCACCAGGCCCAGCTAATTTTTGTATTCTTAGTAGAGACGGGGTTTCGCTATGTTGGCCGGGCTGGTCTCAAACTCCTGACCTCAGATGATCCACCTGCCCTGGCCTCCCAAAGTGCTGGGATTACATTCGTGAGCCACCGCAATCAGCCCACAAAACCCCATTTCTACAAAAAGATTAAAAAATTAGCAAGGCGTGGTGGCACTCGCCTGTGGTTGCTACTCAGGAGGCTGAAGTGGTTGGATCACTTGAGCCTGGGAGGCTGAGGCTGAAGTGAGCCAAGATGGTGCCACCTGCATTCCAGCCTGGGTGACAGAGTGAGACACTGTCTCAAAACAAAACAAAACACAGCTTATCTATATTTCCCATTACAGTTTCTTTCCTTTTGTGCTTCTCCTTATTATTTTATTTTTTGCAGAGACAGGGTTTCATCACGTTGCCCAGGGTGGCCTCGAACACCCAGGTCCAAGCCATCCAGCTGCCTCAGCCTCCCAAAGTGCTGGCATTACAGGCATGAGTCCTTTTTATGCTTCTTCAGGTTTGCATGGGAAGTAGCTGCTTATGTTTCTTCCCAGGAGTTTATGAGTTCACTGTACACGTCTCACCGCATTGCCTCGGGAATGTATGATTATGTGCACGCTTAGGGGTGTTGACAATGCTTCACTCAGAATGAACTCAACATGCGTCCCTCAACTCTCTATGCCGCTCAGCTCATCTGCCTAATGATCCTTGTGCCTTACCCCTGTTTTAAGCCAGTTTAAATAACTGAAGATTCATAATGTACTTTTAATAATAGACTTGAAATTCAAAATCATTTTCTGAAAATCTGTAATTCTGAATTACATAACATCTGAATGAAGAAATAACATCTTAAAGGGATTTTGGCATGGTTAACACCAGTGCCTCCTTTTTATCCACAGGAATGCACATGTCAGGACTCTCCCCCCTCATGGCTGCAGGGGATGGAGTGGGGAAGACAGAGGGTTCTAGGCCCAGCCTTCTCCTTGGGCCTCCATTTACCCATGTGCACAGTGGGGAGTCAGCAGAATAAGAACTGAATGCATACAGCCCAAGTGCTGTCTGCTGTCATTCCTGGTACCACTGAGGCCACCCAGGACAGGGCCCCAACTCTGCATCCTGCACCAAACACAGCCCTGCACCAGGGGCGGTGCTCACCCTGCACCATTCTGGCCCTGGAGCGGTGCTCACCCCACACGGCACTACACCAAGGGTGGTGCTTACCTTGGCGCTGTGAGCAGAGACGGTGGTAGTGACGTACGGGGTCCTGTTCTTTTGAAGCAGGTCAATGTAGACCTCAGCCCCATCTCCTCCATGGACACGCAGCAGGCTAAGCAGTTCATTGACGTCATGGTGAATCCGAAATTCACTCATGGTTATGGTTCTGAGGCACCAACATCACAAAATGTTCTCCTAAAGGTAAGAGGCTAGCTATTCATAAAATTAAAACTGTATAAATAAAAATATATTTTCTGACACTCAAGCCTGGCCAATGTCAGACCTTTGACAAACCAAGTTATTACCTGGCCTGTCTGGCCTAGGGCCCCTTCCCCAACCCCACAGCAGCCTCTCAGAGGGTCCTGTGCACGGGACTGGGATTAGGGCCTCTTCCCTGACACCCCAGCAGCCTCTCAGAGGGTCCTCTGCATGGGACTGGGATTAGAGCCCCTCACCCACACCCCAGCAGCCTCTCAGAGGGTCCTGTGAACGGGACTGGTATTAGGGCCTCTTCCCTGACACCCCAGCAGCCTCTCAGAGGGTCCTGTGCATGGGCCTGGGATTCACTGGCCACCAGCTTCCAGACAGCCTCCACAGCTTCGAGAGCCGGCCTGTGGGTAGCGTGAATGTGGCCTGAGACCCGGGGGCTCCCCTTCTCCTGCATCTCCCTCCACACAAGGGTCTGGGCCAGCAGGGAATGCTCTGCTGCTCGCCTCGGCTGGTGGGCAGAGCGTTCTGGTCCCAGATGTGCAGACATGAGGCCCTGCCTGTGGGGTCTACACAGGGAGCTGTGCAGATGCCCAAGCCATACACACCGTGCCAGCTCCCAGTGCACACAGTAAAATCACAGCCTCCACCCGAGAGGCCCACCTGGTTCTGAGACCCTGCGGTGCCCAGCCGCAACTCCCTTCCCCCGTCCAGCTCTCTGTTCCTTCTGCACTCCCGGACCCATGACATCTCCTTTTCTTACCCAAGCATGGCTACCCACAGAGATGCTTCTGGTAAGATTTCTGCACGTTCCTACACGTCTGAGCTAAGTGAGGTTCCGCTGCAGCTCAAGCTGTCCTGCTGACCACCTGTCCCAGGGTCTCGCCAGGAGACACATGACACATATGAGATCGAAGCCGTCACAGACACGCTTGAGTGGGCAGCAGAACACTGCATGGGGTCAGGGTGCTGGGTAAGGTGCACTGTCCCTGGGTCAGGATGCAGGGTGAGCGCTACCCCTGGGTCAGGGTGCTGGGTGAGCCCACCCTTGAGTCAGAGTGCTGGGTAAGTGCTGCCCCTGGGTCAGGGGGCAGGGTGAGCCATCCCTGGGTCAGGGTGCTGGGTAAGCACTGCCCTGACTCTCCCATCGGTGGCTGGTCATTAGCCACTGTCATCAGGAGTTCTGACACAAGGCCATTAAGACAAACACATGGCTGTTTGCAGAGGCTCATCCCTGTAATCCCAGCTTGGGGAGGCTGAGTGAGGTCAATCGCTCAAGGCCAGGAGTTCAAGACAGCCTGGGCAACATAGTGAGACCCTGTCTCTACAAAAAAAAATACAAAAAATCAGCTGGGCATGGCACCATATGCCCACAGTCTCCCACTTGGGAGGCTGAGGTGGGAGGATTGCTTGTGCCACTCCAGCCTAGGCAACAGAGGGAGATCCTGTCTCAACAAAACAAAACAAAACAAAAAACACACACAGGCAACTGGCTATAGATTAAAAAACAAATACAAGGCCGGGCGCGGTGGCTCAAGCCTGTAATCCCAGCACTTTGGGAGGCCGAGGCGGGTGGATCACGAGGTCAAGAGATCGAGACCATCCTGGTCAACATGGTGAAACCCCGTCTCTACTAAAAATACAAAACATTAGCTGGGCATGGTGGTGTGTGCCTGTAATCCCAGCTACTCAGGAGGCTGAGGCAGGAGAATTGCCTGAACCCAGGCGGCGGAGGTTGCGGTGAGCCGAGATCGCGCCATTGCACTCCAGCCTGGGTAACATGAGTGAAACTCCGTCTCAAAAAAAAAAAAAAAAACAAATACAAGTAAACTTTACATGCTTCACAAATATTTCAATTCATCTACATAAGTGCTCTTAATCTGGTGTTCATGAATAATATGTAACACATGAGCCCTTGAAAATTACAGGCAAAATCATCTGTGAATTTTCTGAGGAGATAGCCCTTCAACAAACTCTCAAACGCATTATGACCCAAAAAAAGTAAATAACCACTCTGCGGACAGCCTCAGGAAGACAAGGATGAGCTCAACAGAACATCGAATACAGGAGGCTCGGCACACACTCCCGCGACACTCTAACTTGGACTGTCAGCGTGGGACCCGACGGTGAGAAAGTGAGATCTGAATCCTGTGTGACAAAAAACAGCGTCTCTGTATATGAACAACAAATACTGGTCACAGGCAGGGTCTCTCCAAAAATGGAAGTAGACCAACAAGCACACAGGGTCCCTGAGCTGCTCGGGCACATGCTTTTGACTCAGGAGGCGCTCATGGTTAACTACAGTTCAAACACAAGGCCAGCAGGGCACCCGATGCGGAGTCCCACGCAGGCCGAACACTGAGGTGGCCACTTCCAGACAGTGGGACGCTGAACAAGGACACATCCTCTCCAAGCTTATTCTGAAAATGGGAAGCCATTGGTCCTGCCTGAGCTGTGGTGGAGAGAAGTGAAATCATCCTGAGAAAGCACAGAAGGGCCCATACATGGTAATCTTGCACTGTGGTTACCAGAAAAGCAGAAACAGACACATTGCCACCGTTACTGCCTAGAGACGGTAACTCTGTTATCTGGGAAATGGTTAAGTTTACAAAAGGAAAAATTGGGTCCCAATCACTGATAACATCTTAAACTACCAGTTGCCTTTTTATTTTTCTTTTTTGAGATGGAGTCTTGCTCTGTCCCCAGGCTGGAGTGCCGTAGCACGATCTCAGCTCACCGCAACCTCCACCTTCTGAGTTCAAGCCATTCTCCTGCCTCAGCCTCCTGAGTGCTGGGACTACAAGCACACGCCACCACACCTGGCTAATTTTTTGTATTTTAGTAGAGACGGGGTTTCACCATATTGGCCAAGATGGTCTCAATCTCCCGACCTCATGATCCACCCACCTCAGCCTCCCAAAGTGCTGGGGTTAAGGCATGAGCCACCATGCCCGGCCTACCAGTTGCTTTTTTAATAGTCATGGGAAGTCTGGGATGAGGCCCTGCAAACTACTTGTGAAGCAGAAAAGACAACCCAAAACTTTCCACCTAGCAGCCTCTTCGAATCCAAGGGAAACCTGTTTCACCCACATTCTATTCGGCTCCCCAAGGACTGCAGGCTGTTCCGTAACTGCTGGACTGAGAAACACTGGTCATGCTCGGTGGCAAGAAAACCATTTGCCACCAAAACAAAGCACTTCCCTACCAGACACAAGTCAGGAGAGAAACCTACCCCTGAAGAGAAATCATCTAAGTAAACATTTATTTAAAAACTACCTTCAGAAAACTTGACATCTCTTGTAGAAATAAAAGCATGGACGTCTGCACGTCACGAGTGCTCATTTTTCGAGGAGCCTGCTTCTCCCTGAACGTGGGGACCACGCCTCCAGAAGGGAAGCCCACACCAGCACGGGGTCCCTCCCCGCCCAGGGGACTCTGGGAAAATCCTGGGCTAACTCTGAGGTGTCACAGTGACTGAAGGGTGCTCTTAGTACTTAATGGGCAAGGGCCAGGGACAGTAATGTCCCGCCAGGAACGAGCAGAGTCCCACTGAAAACACAGCTCGGAGGAGGATTTAGCCGTGGCTCTTGGTATTTAGTGGGCAAGGGCCAGGGACACTAATGTCCCGCCAGGAACGAGCAGAGTCCCACTGAAAACACAGCTCGGAGGAGGGTTTAGCCGTGGCCGCTTACTTGTTCTCGATGCTCCTGAATTCTTACTATTAATCACGCAAATAGACAGGCCCAGCGTCTGTGACTGGGCAGGACTGAAGTACTCCTCACACGGCCATGAGCGACCACAGGGATGAGTGCTGAGGAAGCAAGGCACGCATGTCACACTCCAGCACGCACAAGCGGGGCACAGAGAGGAACTTGACCGAGAGCCTCTGTGGAGAGCTCAAACCTAACTGCACAAATTGGTTTGAAAAATGTTATTTTACAACTTGTGAAAAATGTCAATGGCCCAAATGCTTTTACAGAGACAGTACAGACGTGCCTCACTCAACATCCTGAGAAATGCCTGCCAACATGGTGAAAACCAGTCTCTACCAAAAATACAAAAATCAGCCAGGCCTCATGGCGCACACTTATAATCCCAGCTACTTGGGTAGCTGAGGCACAAGAATCGCTTGAGCCCAGGAGGCAGAGGTTGCAGTGAGCCAAGATCAGGCCACGGTACTCCAGCCTGGGCGACAGAGAGACACTCTATCTCCAAAAGATAAAAGAGAAATACGTGGTTAGGTAATTTCCTTCTGTGCGACCTCCATGGAGGGACTCGCTGACCTAGAGGGTGTACGGCCTACCATGCACCTAAGCCTGGTGGAGCCTCAGGCTCGTGGGCTACAAGCCTGCCCAGCAGGTGGCTGTGCTGCACACTGAGCTGTAACAGACAGCCATTTGTGTATCTAAACATGGAAAAAGTACAGGGGCAGACCTAGCGGCTCACACCTGCAGTCCCAGCTCTTTGGAAGGTTGAGGCAGGAGGACTGCTTGAGCCCAGGAGTTTGCCACCTATGATCGCGCCACTGCACTCCGGCCTGGGTGACAGAGCGAGAAAGCTATCCGCCACCACCGGGCCCAACCTCTGCAGCAGATCTGAAGCGTGCACTGCTTCCCGCGTTTTGTCGATCACCATTTTAATCAGGTAACTGTGTAGTCTGACGTCCGTCGTGCTCTCCTCTGATGCCTTCACCCACACCCTGAGCACAGGTCTGGTGTTTGATGGGAGCTGCAGGACTGGAGAGGTCGACAGGACCCCGGCAGGCCAGGAAAGGGCCTTTGAACTAAGGTAACGGGAAGTCACCCAAGAGCTGAGTTAAAAAGGGTCACAACACAACCGGAGCCACTGTGGCTCCCGTTCGCGACTGGTTTAGAGGGAACAAGATCCAGGGGCTACGCGGTCCGACGGCGGGGGCCGGGGAAGGTGGACGGGAGGGCGTGCGAGAGACGGACCTGCGACCCCGCCTCCCAGGGCCGGGAGGGGACACCTGGGACGAGCCGGAGGCCCGCTCCGTCCCGCCCCAGCTCGGGGTGGGGCCGCGGGGCAAGACGCTGACCTGGCCCGCACGGGCCCGAGGGGCTTTGGCCAAGCGCCGGGGGCCGCTGCGCAGCCAGAGGAGCGCGTGGGAAGAGCCGCATCCCGCCAGGCCCGTCGCCTCGTGGCCGCCCGAGCCCGACAGTCCCCCAGCCCCGCCGCCCCGCCAGGGCCCGGCCAGGACTCACCGCAGCCCCGGAACCACAGAGCCCCCGCAGCCCCCGACGGCGGCGGAAGTGCGCGGACGTCACGTCCGGCCCGGCTCGCGGACGGTGGCCGACTGGCTCCGCGCGCCCGCGCCCAGAGTGATGCAGCTGCCCCCAGCGCTACGCGCCCGCCTCGCCGCGGGGCCCGGGACGGCCGAGCCACTGCCTGTAGCGCGGGACCCCGCGGCCGAGGCCGCGCCTTTTCGCTTCGCTGCGCGCCCGGTGCGCTTCCCGCGGGAGCACGAGTTCTTCGAGGTGATTGAGGGAAAAAGAAAAAGGCTCCCACTCCCGGAGCCTGGAGTGGGCGGGACCTGAGGCTGCGGAACGGGGCGGGAGCCCGGGGCAGGCGGGGTTTGAGGCTGCGAGGCGTGGCCGGAGCCTGGGTCAGGCGGGGCCTGAGGCTTTCGGTCGGGACCTGGGGCCGCGGGGCGGGGCCGGAGGCTTTGGGGCGGGACCTGAGGCCGCAGGGCGGGGCCGGAGCCCGGGGCGGGCGGGGCCGGAGCCCGGGGCAGGCGGGGCCTGAGGC